TAACTGTCATTTCAATTTGAATGCAAATCCTGTCTTTGAAGACAAAAGATCTCTGTTTTACCTCTGAGAGGATCTGGTATTGTGGTGATAGCATCACTAGGTGGCAGTGTAGTAAGCAAAATACTGCATGTGAAGATGAAGGCAGATAAAAATGAGCTCTGAAACGGTTTGTTTCAACTTGAGTAATATTTGCATTACTGGGAAAGGAGATTATTCAAAAAATAATGCAAAAAAGGTCATTTCAGATCTGTTTTGCATTGGCAGACAAAAAGAGAGCCTAATAATTCTTGCTTCACTCTTGAAAAATGAGGGCATTTACACAAAGTTAGCAAAGGTTTTTGCCTGTAAGGAATATTTTGCCTATTAGTGCTGAACTGCTGTGACTTTGGCGCTTGTCCAGAGAGGTATGGTAAATAGTCCCTGAGCTATCTGGAAACGAGCCCAGGCCAATTACAGAGCGCACACCTAGGTCCCGTCGTAGGATGAATGCACACATTTCTGTTGGGTAACATTATTCGAGTTGTGCCTAGGTCAGCACCAGTCAGCACTCTCACTTTTTTTTCTCCCCCTCTCCTGTACACTGGCACAAATAAAAATATGCTCAATTTCATGACCAGCATAAACTTTTGAACCACCTTAATGAGCTGCAGAGGGACTGAACATACTATTACATCTTTTGGGGTTGTATCATTAAGAGTATCCAGTGTAGAGAAATCTGCCCAATCAAACGTGTTGTTATGCACTGGGAAATAAAGCAGCACCCAGATGTTTTTATAAACTTATAAATAGAATTAACTTCACATGACTGTCACTTGAATAATCATGCGTTTTGACAACATGACCATCAGGCGGGCCCCATTATCTTCAGTTCTGCTTCAAAGAAAACCCTGAGATAGCGACCAGCCTTGTTTGGAGTTAGATAACAGATAATTTACAGTAAAGCTCATATTTGTAGTATTCATCCACATTACTTTCATGCTTCAGACTCAGGTCAAACTTATTAAACACTAACGAAAGAATTCTCAGAAACCAACACCAGTTCCTACTCAACATCTGGTTAATGTTAAAGCATTCTCTTGTCAACATCATGCAAAAAGAAAAACTGCCACAATTCATTTAAGCACTTTATTACTCTTTATTGAGAGAATACATGTAGTCTGGTTGTGATATAATATAGACAAGTTGAAAGGTTAAAAAGTCAGTTCCTAGGTTACCAAGGTCCAAATACACGCAAATACATACATAAAATATGTTTATACTGGGAGAAGATTACTTAATTTTCAACTACTTGCTTCTACTTCTACGTGACTATTCAATATTTAATACCAGTGTTGGATACATAAAAGGTGATCATCTGACAAACACTTCTTTTCTTGTGCATCCAAGTCATGCAGTGCAGATGCAGCTTCAACTATACTGTTATTCATTTTCAAAAAAATAAAACCCACTGAGCCCACTTTCTAGTCATCACTTCCTATCACGCATGATCAGTCACTGCTAGGTCCTGCCACTAGGGGTCAGCACTCAGACCCTTCTTGAGCCTTGCCATTTGAACTTCCTCCATCAGTTCTTTGAGATACTCGATCTCTCTGGCCATAGATTCGGCCTTCTCTGCCAGCTCTAGGTTCTTCCTCTCCAACAGCACGTGCTCGTCAGCGAGGGCGTCCTTCTCCGCTCTCTTCTTCTGTCTGTAGCGTGTGGCAGCAGTTTTGTTCTGCTCCATCTTCTTCTGTTTTTTGTCTTTTGGAGGCCTCAAAGCTGCACGTTCAGGTCCACCTGCACCGCGTGGGGACTTGACCTTGACACTGGTGGTGCTAGGAGAGGGCGGACTAGCTTTGTAATTTGGTTCCGGGTAGGGTCTGCTTCTGGAGGGTGTTTTTGGAGGGGAGGATGGTGGGGAGCAACAAATGACCTTTGACGTGGTGGCCGTGGTGATCCCGACTTCCTTTTTCGGGGCAAGCACGAGGACGATGCGAGTTGGTGAGAGTGAGAGTACAAGCTTTGGGACCTGAGGGACCACAGTGGCTACCACTGGCTTCACCTCACTCTCTGACACATCCACTTCACTGCCAAGGTCCAGGGTAAAGGTAGGGGAGGAGGGAGACTCTACTACGGGGGATTCAGGGTCTGGGGAGGTAGGCTCTGATTTGATTTCGAGCTCCTCTTGAGGCTCTGGGATACAAAGTGGAGAAGAAGGAACCTCCTGCCCATCGATGCAGGATTCAGGATCATCCACAGTGATGACAGCAGTATCTGAACAGACAGTGGAAGATGAAGGGGGCGGTGTACTTGAAAGAGAAGCAGAGGGAGGATCCATGAGCACAGGAGTTGAGAGAGCTGGCAGGGGGAGGGAGTCGAGCTCCATGGGGCAATCAAAGGAGGCCAGGAGGTCTTCTGGAGAGCTGTGAGACTCTTCAGCAGGACTGCAGGAGCCAATCAGCGAGTCCAGGTCAAGGTCACTAAGATCCACCTTCTCAGCCATCCAGTCCAAGTCACTGAGCGCATCCTCTGTGGAGGCAGAGCAAGCAAAACATGAATGAGCTATTAATTTATACTTCGTTACACTCTGACATCAGGTGTCCGAACTTTTAGGTGTTACTCAACAGTAAGTCGTTACCTTTGCCGTCACCTGAGAGCGCCTGGCTACACGTCAGCTGACCTGGGTGGGCCAATAAAGGGAAGAGCAGATCAGACTCCATCCCGACTTTGTCCCCATGGAGGAGGAGGGCCGGCGGAGAGGGAGGAGGGGAGTAGAAGGGCGGAGGAGAAGAGGAAGACGACAGCGATGAGGAGGTGAGGGGGGAAGCAGGTTCAGCATCCCCCTCCAAGCTTCCTCCTCCTTTCTGTTGTTCTTTGTCAGGGCGGAAAAACAGCGAGTCCATGGCGTCAGCCATGGGAGAGGAAGGCCCCCAGAGAAGGGCCTCCATGTCTTCCTGGCCAAACTGTGAGCTGGTCATCATCATGGTCATAATGGCTGTTGTTGGTCACAAATGGGGAGCGTGACAATGCTAGGGTAGCTTCGAATTCTATTATGCTGTCGAATGCAGCAGTGCTGAGGGTTTCCACGTAGGACCTGAAGACAGAAAGATGAACAAATGTTTTTGAATGCCTGAACACCATTTTAGACACACACACACTTCACATTTATTACAGAAAAGAAAGTTCCAAGTATAAACAAAATCATCCTGAGTCAAATTCTTTTAATTTTTACCAACACTGCCCCCAAGACTGCAATACCAGTGATGTATCACGTGTTTCCGCGCAGCTCCCAGTCTTATGACTCTGACGTAAGTCTGCTAGCAAGCGAGGTCAAAGAGTCCGTCTCCCTCCCCACAAAAAAACAAAACAGCTACACTTTTGTTCTCAGTCCGCCTGCAGCGAGCCGCCATTTTGACACAAAGAGGAAACGAACCATTTTCTGAGTGCCACGTTGGCGCTCGGAGGCCGGCATGAGAACACAAGTTTGATTAATCAGCGTGAGAGAGGGTTTAGCGTTTTCACAGATACAATGTTACGAGCTTATTTGCGAAAACTGCGTCAAATGTTACAAATCGTGACAGTAACACGTGTTGCGTCACTTCAGTTTTGTCGTCATTTGATTTAATAGTTTCAAATAAAGGTGTTTAGCGTTCTATTAAATAACTGTATGGCATGGTATGGCATATATATATATATATATA